GAGGAGCAAATGAGGTACTCGTCCTCATTGGACTCAGTGTGAGAAGAGGAAGACCACAAGCTCGAGGATAAGGCCTGTCCTCCTCATTCTGGGCGCCTCCACCTTGAATTTGTGAGACTCATGGTGCATCTTGCCTTTGGATGGGAGAAGAAACTTTCCTCATTTGTCCATGTGCGTTCATGTCGTGTCGAGTGAGGGGGGGAGGTTGATCCGCGCCATTGCATGCTACATGCACAGCCCTATGCCGCCTGGCAGAGGCTGCAGACTGTAGTCAGGACATGAGATCGACATACTGATCAAATGTGGACACAATTACGGCAAGTATGCCTAGAACACAAGCAAAAGATGACGTGTAAAGCGAGCGTACACGATGATGCCGACGCATACGATGCGGCCCTGCCTCTCTCATTCGCGAGGCGATAATAAGGCTCCCAAAGCAACCGAATCCAAAATAGATGCCCCCCTTCGTATTGCATGGATTGAGGATGACATCAATTTCGTGATGCTGGGGTGGGACGGGGTGTTGATGTCCCACTCGCCGTTTTTATGCCAACGCCAAAGCCCGCCCCAGGGACGAGGAATCTGATGCGCGAAGCAGCTGCATGCAGCACAGCAGTCATCTTACCTCTTACGGGTCCGAATCAAAGACAATTACGTGTACACACGTCATACAGGGAAAAGAAGATGATGCAACGGTTTTTCCAACCAGCAGGGGCGTTTCCTTCCGGAAGGGGCCAGAAAAGGTACAAGACCGAGGATATATGCGAAGAGGGTGGGCCGGCGGAGACAACTCTAGACACAGTCCAGGACGTCCACGGAAAGGATCGCGCAGCGGAAGTGAATGGGGAGTCAACCGTGGAGGAACAAGGTGATCATAGAGACGGGAGTGCGAATGCGAGAACGGTTTTCAGGGACGGCGAGATGGCCGCGCACGGTATATCCGGAGCAGAGTTGGTGAGAGAAGACAGACAGACAGGGGTGCTTCAGAACGGAACACCTGTAGCGCCAGCAGTGGAATCAAAAGGGAACGTGAATGAGGTATCGGCAGCATGGCCTGCGGACGCGAGGGTTGATCAGGGTAGTGACAAGACTGATGGCCTTGATGCCTCTGCCAGGCCCCCTGGGGGTGCGCTTTCCTGTCCTCAGCTCCCTCCGCACTGGGCACCCGCTATAGATCCCGCTACGGGGGCTAAGTATTACTATCACGAGCGGACGGGTGCATGCTCTTGGAAGTCTCCCCCCTCTCTCCCTTTTCCCCCCCTTCCCTCCCTCCCTCTCCCTCCCGCCTTCCTCAGAACCCTCCCTGTACGGTTAGGGTTAGTACGGGGACACGCGGCCTCTATCTGCGGCCCACAGCTACCGCCTGGGCTGATGAAGCTGCATGCAGCCCTGGAAAAGGTGATAGAGAGGAGTGGGTAGCGGGGATGGGGGTTAAGAGGGAGAGGAGAGGAATGGTGAGAGCGTAAGGGGCGCGGTGTAAATGACGCCGGTGGCGATGGGAGCGAAATTGGGGTGGGGATGACCGAACAGGCGAGCATCAAGTGCCGCTGGCAAGAGCCCGGGGCCAGGGCAAGGCCCGAGGGGACCTCCACCGCCTGATCCTTGCGCGCGCTCCACCGCATGTCCACACTATGTCCCGCCTTATCCAACCGGGCCGCCCTCCCCTTTCTTCCCTCCCACTCCCACCCCCAGGTTCCCCTCCTACTCCCCGACGCGGACTCCCCGAATTCTCCTCCGCTTCCCGGCTCCGAGCCCGCCCTGGACGAGACGTGGGTGAAGCTGTGCGAAGAGGGGACAGGGCGTGCCTTTTACTACAACGTGGTTTCTCAGACGAGGCAGTGGGAGGTGCCTCTTGGCTACCAGGTCTGTCGATGCTCTACGCTGTGGGTCACGCCCGCCGATTCTGGTTCCTGTCCTGCTCCTATGTCTCCTTTTTGTGTTGTTTCCGGAAAAAAAGAGACGATTCCTGCATGCCTCCTAGTCCCTTTCGCCTTACCACCCTTTCTGTGATTTTCTTTTGTCGCACAGGAAGAGAACCAGCCCACCTGTCGTGCTGAACACGAACACCCGATGTCGACACAGGTCGGCGAGTGGGAAGGAGGGAGGGGGGGAAAGAGGGAGGGAAGAGAGGTTCGTGGCCCGAGCAGAGAGGCGGAGCGGAAAGAAGAGAGAGAAAGTGGAGAGAGAACGAGGAAAATGAGGTTTCACAAATCAAGAGGCTACCCTCTTCTTTCTCTGCCCGCGCGACTCCCTTCCCTTGTCTCCCCTGTTTTCCCTACAGCCTCGCCTCCCTGCCCCCTGCGAGCGAGACGGGCGCATGCTCAGGCACTACTTCGATCTCTCCACTTTGCCGGGCAATCGAGAGGACGCCAAGAAGAAGGAGGAGGGGACAAGGAGAGGTAAGGATCGACGTTAGGGAGGGGCGTGGGACGAGAGGCAAGTGAGGGAGGGGAAGAGGAAGGGCGGGGGAGCTCGCTTGCAGGAAGTCGAAGAGAGGGAACGTGTTCTGATACGAAGGGAAGAGGGAAAGCGCTGAAGGTTCAATGTGGTGAGAGCAAGAGGTCCGACGAGAAAGGTGGCCGGGGGCATAGGGAAGAGGAGCGCGGCCTGGACCAGGGGTTGCGTGAGGGAGGGCGGCAGAGTCCTGGCCTCTCCCCTACCGGTCCTGCGTCTCGCGGACCACCTCCATCACACCGTGCTTGTATCTCCGCAGACAGGGATTGGCGCCAACACCAAACTACAAAGACGTTGGAGAAGCACAGCAAGACTTTGGAATGGCTGAGGAAGGAATGAGAATAGCAAAGAGGAGTGCGACAACAGAAGTGCAGGGCTTTCCAACGAAGGAGGGCTCATGCTAAGCCCTAGATTTCCTCGTCAGCGGAGATTTCACACTCGTGTTTATGGTACACACAAGGTGAGGGAATGTGTATCGAGTTTATGCATCGGTTGAGTCTCAGGTGCATGTAACAAATGTGAACCCCGAATTTTTAACCCTTGAAATCCGTTCCGTTCTGTTGTCGTCTACTCCGCTCCCGATCGGAATTGAGTCTGTGGCGCATCTGTGCTTTCTACTTTCCTCCATGGATTCTCCATGTCCTCACTCGTTCTATTTCTTCTCTTCTCTCGCCCATTTTCGTCAGCCTCAAACAGTGCAGGCCGATGAGGTCGAGGTCATGTACAAGACACCTGTACTACAGGCACCAGTACTCTCTCCCCCTCTCTTCTTTCCCTCCCTCATTCACCCCTCAACTCTTCCTAGACCTAACCTTTCTTTCCCTGTAATCATTGCGTCATTCCACGCCGGATGGGGTCGTATCGACAAGTGGCCGCTTCTTCTTCATCCAAAATGCCTTTTCTTAGCAAAAATATGCGAAGTCTCTGCTCACAATCGACGAGGCCGGAAAATCAAGAGGTTATGTCTGAACTTGACGACTAGATAGACACCTGCACCACTAAGCTGCTCGGGTAAGTGTCACACCTGTGATGAGGAGACAGAGAAGCTTGTCACCAGCTGGGAGAGCATGAAGTGCTACTTTACTGTGCATTTCTTGGGAGCCTTTACTTACGCAAAATACGCAGAGTCCCCGCTCACAACCGACGTAAGTAGGGCATTTTCTTCCTTGTTGAGAGTCAGGGTTGCCGCGTGAGTGAAGTCGGTCAGATTCACTTTCACCACTTTGCCTGGATAAGTCATAGTCCTGTATATAGGGTTTAGCAAAGTTCATCAGCAACTCAAAGAGAAAGAAGTCCTAAGGTACTCTGCATTTCTTCAAGGCCTTTGCTTACCCGAAATACGCGTAGTTCTCGCTCACAACCGACGTGCGTAGCGAGTCTTCACCTGAGTTGAGACCACTGGGGAAATGAATGCCCCAAGAATAAAACGGAGCATTCTTACACATGCTTGTTGGCAACCAAGAAAACATATGAAAGTGTTGTGGAACCACAAGCATCTTCTGTAATGGTGGATAGCGGAGCTACATCCCATATGAAAAGAGATACTACAGGATTGACTAATGTCAGGCGACATTGTGGTCACGTATATGTGGCAAACGGGGAGAAACTAGAAGTACATAACATCGGAGACTGGCTCATGGAAGTGAAGCACAGTGATGGTACTATTAAAGGCGTTGTGTTCAAGGATGTTATTGTAGTACCCAATCTGAGTCGCGATCTATTATCCATGCCTAGAATTGATAAAGCCGGTGGAGATATAATAATCCGTAAAGGAAAGGGCGTAATTAAAAAGGGTGACACGTGTTTGCTGATAAGAAAGGTTGATAACATGTATATGTTAGACTACTACGGGAAATCACGTGAGGAAGCTAATGTAGTTAACTCACTGAATTGTGG